TTATTTCTTTGCTGAGGTCATAAAGATAATGGTATAAACATTTTCACCAAATATTTTAACCATGCCCCTGTTTTAGGGGTTTAGGAGAAGCCTGTGTTTATGAAACAGATGACATGGGGCTAAGTATTCATTTTATAAAACCATTCACGGTGTAGTTCCCCAGGAACAGGGAAAGGGGCCTGGTGACTCTACTAACAGCCACTGATGACGGTGTCCACTGCATCAAGTGAGATAACCCTGCCCCAGAGGCTGATGGTAGTGATTGACATGGTAGCCTCCCCTTGGGGAAGCCTTCTCATATGTACAGTGGATATATTGGTAAATGTCTCTTGATTCTCACTCTGATGTCTCTTGATTCCCTCCACGTGTCTGGTCTGATTTATGAACATCATATGTCCTTATTCCGTGCAAAGAAAGTTTTAGCTCAGTGGAAGACACATCCAGATTCCTAGACATGTGTTAAACAAAATGGTCTTTTTCAGATCAGTGCATTGATTTTGTTCATGTATGCTCTGTCAAAAGAAGCTCTTCTACCGGTCAAAGTATTTTTTGTGAAACACTCATAGATGATAAATGCCTTGTTCCAGCATTATCCTTTTTCAAAATGCATGCACTGACTTAATCTCCTTGGAAGGTATATGCTGAGAAATGTCAGCCCATTATATTCTAACACCATCTGTGAAATTCTAACAGATTATCCTTTATTGGGAGGCTTGTGATTTTTGATCATTATCACAAGGTCTTTAACAAAATCCTTTTATCAGATAATTTCGGGAAAGCATTATGCAGAAAAAGAAGACTCATAGCCAAGTTCAAAATTTCATTTACCTCTATGAAAACGTTTCATTCATATTAGAAAAGTCTGAACATTCTTTCATGTCTAAGATTGATGTCATTTATTCACATTAGAGGGTTTTGTCCAGAAATCAGAAAATCCCATTTATATAGCTACCCTTCCTTTGGAAGTTTTATGGCCTGAAACAAGTTTCTGAGCCATAGGAGTCTTGGTGTTTCTGTCCGAAGACCATAATCAACCATAGTACGTGACAACAGGACAGGGTGGGTGGGCTGTGATATGAATGGTACCAGTCTCCCTAATTTCACTCTATGTGCCATCCTCAGGAATCTTCTTGTGATGCCCCTCTTTAGAGGCCTATCCAACCCCTCCCCTTTGGCCTCTAGCCCAGATATCACATGCCATTCAAGAAGCCCCACCCCACCCCATCAAATCCATCCTACCCTTTAAACCTTGCCTTACCTTTTCCCTGGAGCCAGTGCCAGGCTACACACAGCAGACCATGTCCCAGCCACGTGTCCTATGTTCCTGCCTCCTCACCTTTGCAATTTCCATCCCCCTCTCTGCATCTGTACAAATCCTGTTCATCCTTGCAGGCCCGTTCCAACCCTCACCTCCCCCAGCAACTAGGAATGGCTTCCTGGTCTAAATTTCTTCAGAACGTTATTGTCTGTGTTCTATATTTAGCTTTTTTTTTTTTTTTTGGCCAGGGCTGGGTTTGAACCCACCACCTCTGGCATATGGGGCCGACACCCTACTCCTTGAGCCACAGGCACCGCCCTGTATTCAGCTTTTAGGCAAACTTTCTTTTGCATCATCTCTATTGCTTTCAAGACTTCTTCTTTTTTTTTTTTTTGACACAGAGTCTCACTATGTCACCCTTGGTAGAGTGCTGTGGCATCACAGCTCACAGCAACCTCCAGCAACCTCCAACTCTTGGGCTTAAGCAATTCTCTTGCCTCAGCCTACCAAGTAGCTGGGACTACAAGCACCAGCTGCAACCCCTGGCTTTTTTGTTGTTGTTGTTGTAGTTGTCATTGTTGTTTAGGAGGCCCAGGTCGGGTTTGAACCCGACTGCCCCAGTATACATGGCTGGTGCCCTAACCACTGAGCTATGGGTACCAAGCCAAGACTGAGCCAAGACTTCTTAAATATTTTGTACCCTTTAGTAATCTTACATAGGGTAAGCACTCAATAAATATATGATTGGTTGTTATTACATGTATTCGTTTGATCATATCTGGTGTGTTAAGGAAGTGATGCCATGAAAACATTATACCAAAAAGGAAGAAAACAATATTTGGAGCCAAAGGAATGTTTCTGGACTGAGTTGCTTCCGGGTCTGTCTTGCTGGACACTTGGAGTGATGTCCATTTTAGGCATTTAACTGTGATCTCAGTGGGAGGGATTGGCTCGCCATCCTTCTTGGATGGCCCATTTGTGTTAGAAGTCTCAGTCATCATAGGAATTGACTCATGTAATAGAACAATTGGGAAAAACAAAGTAGATGGGTGTGTGTGGAATTGCTGGTGTGCGGCCTCTGCTACCAATAGAACGTAATGTGGAGGCAGAGGATGGTGCACACGTGAGCCTCCGCATGTCTGCGAGATGAGTGGGTGCCATTCTGAAAGCTAACCATGTTTTCTTCCACTCCTCTAGTTTTGGCTTTTCCAGCATATCTGCTGGGGATAAACCAGGACCGGCTGAAGGAGAAGCTAACGAGCCGGCAGATGGACAGCAAGTGGGGAGGCAAGTCAGAGTCCATCCACGTGACCCTCAATGTGGAGCAGGCCTGTTACACCAGGGACGCGCTCGCCAAGGCCCTGCACGCCCGGGTCTTTGATTTCTTGGTAGATGTAAGTAACACAAGTAGACCTTGGTGACGCTTCCTATCTTAGCCATAAAGGGTAAAACGACTGTGAAGGGTTTCGTTTTCATATGCTGGCTCATTCCTTTTAACCTTTTTTTTTTTTTTTTTTTGGCCGGGGCTGGGTTTGAACCCGCCACCTCCAGCATATGGGGCCAGCGCCCTACTCCTTTGAGCCACAGGCACCGCCCCCCACTTTATCTATTAATTACCACATTCCTCTGTTTGTGCCTTCCCACTCTGGAATTATCGAATCCTGCTTTTACTTTGGATGTGTCCACCCAGACACACGCAAACCTACCATAATAACAATTTCTTCAGGGCAAAATGTTTAGGAAGGCCAGGACTAGAGACTAGAAAAAAGAGGATACCCATGCTCATGGGCCTTTCTTGAACCTAAGGGATCAGGGATAGTGCATTTACCATACCTTGCTTAGTGGCTTGAAATACTAAGCATTTATTTTGTCACCGTTTCGGTGGGTCAGGTGTTTGGGGTCTGCTCTCATTGGTGGTTCAAGCTCAAGGACAAGATCATTGTCAAGATGCTGATTGAAACTGCAGTCATCTCGAGGTTCAAGTAGGGTCGGAGGATCTGCTGGAGAAATGGCTCACTCCCCTGGCTGTTAGCAGGTGGTCTCAGTTCCTTGCTACAGGGTCCTCTGTGAGGGCTGCTTGAATAGCCTCATAACATGGTGGTTGTTTTTCCCTAGAGGGAGTGATCTAGAAGACAGAATGAGTGAGAAACCCCAAGTTTTATATGTCCTAATTTTGGGCTTAAGTATTGTCACTCTGCCAGACTCTGTTCTTTAGAAGCAAGTCTCTCAGTACAGTCTACCCTTAAAGTGTCAGAAATAAGCCTTCACCTTTTGAAGGCTTTGAATATCAAAGACTTTTTGGATAAACTTTAACACTCCCATAGATATTTTTGGTTAAGGCATAATTATATATGTGTGTGTGTATATATATTGATGTATGCATATATACATATTTATGTATGTATATTGCATATATATTCAGAAAATTAGTCTTTCAGCCGGATAGAGCTGCCAGTAACAATCTGTGTTAATCCCTGTAGCCTCTAAATGGTAGAATAATAATAGCACCCACGTATATAGCACTACATGACAGATACTGTTCTAAGTATTTTAGGGGAAGAAACTCACTTAATTCTTACAAAAACCCTGTGGCCTAGGTGTTATTATCTCTACAGATAAACTAAGTGAGGCACAGGGAAGTTAAGTAATTTGCCCAAGGTTACACTGCTGCTATTAGATTGGTCTCAATTGGGCTTAAGCAATTCTCTTGCCTCTAGGAACACCTCTAGGAATACCTAGATTCCAGCTATCCTGACTTTTATATATTCAAGCTAGAAGGAACTGTAAGGGGACTTTAGTCAGAGGACAACCACAAGGCCATTAGACCCAAAATGTCTGTATTTGAATCCAGACACTAATACCTTTGAGGTTTCAAGTATGGTTAGGGCAGGGTCAGCAGGGCAGGTTCAGGTAATTCTGGATACTTCTCGCAGCTATTTTGAAATGTAAGATTGCTTGGCAAGGTCAGGGTCACATCAAACAGCAGTCATGCATGTAGTTTGTCCAGACCCCTCATTTTTTGGAGAAGGGAGTTTTGGGCCTAAGGATTGGTAGACTTGCCCAAGGCTATTCAGCAAGAGGGTGGTGCAGTGCTGGGACTAGAACCCCCATCTCTTGTCTCTTTGTGTAGGTTACCTTCTGGCACTGGACTTCCCACCTTCCTTCCTTCCTGTCATCTCATTTTTTTTTTATAGTGAAAGTGGAGGAATGCTCATGTAAGTGATACTAATTTGAGATGGCATTTACTGAGCACTAACTATGTGCCTGACACTGGGCTGAGTGTTGTGTGCCATTAGCCATTAGCTCACGAAAGGCGATATGCCATTTTCTTTGCCTGGAAAACACATCTGGTGCCTTAGAATGTATTCATTCCCAACTGCATGGAACTTTTCTCTTGTAACCCTCCCTCCCCTGCCTCTCTGTCACCACCCTCTCTACCTACAACTCCCCTACTATCATAAAGTCTGTCCCTGTGACTTGCATGGCCTCTTCTCACTGTGATCAAGAACACAGATTTGGGCATCTCCATACTGCTTACATGTAATCCCAGGCCCTGCTGCTTGCCTAGTGAAATTTTAGGCAAGGTTCAGTATATCCAGGAAAATGAGGGTAATAATGATAGTCTTGCCATTATGAGAACTGCAGTGAGAATTAAGTGAAACAACACATTGAGAACACTTAGCATAGCCTGGCAGAAATGAATAAATAGATTATGATTGTAATTATCTGCAGACAGGTCATCCCCTCTCAGCAGACGCCTGCCTCCGCCTTAGCATCCCTGGCATTTTGTGTTAGGCCCCATTAAATGACTGCTGAATGGGGGACGATGACAACGGTATTTATAGATCTTGCATTGTTGATTCTTCATGTCTTACTTTGATCATCCAAGATGACATTTTCTTCTAATTCTCAAGATGTCATGGAAAGATAACTCTGCCAGAAATTAATGGTTTTCACTGTGTTTCCCCGAAAATAAGACACGATCTTATATTTATTTTTACTTAAGAAGACGCACTAGGGCTTATTTTCAGGGGATGTCTTACTTTTATTAAGTATAATACAACAATCTACATTTATTCAAATATAGTTAAGTCATCTTCTTCTGGAAACTGACAGGGGGAGCCGACCTTGTTGGTGGGGCTGGCGCTAGTGATGTGTGAACTCCTTTCCCCTAGCCATTTGCACGTGCGCAATAGGATGCCTGCGACTGTGGTTACTACCTGCGCACCTGCGCACGTGCCAACGGCTCAGAGAAAGGAGCTGTGGCAGATAAAAGGTATTCCAGTCTTCTTTACCGCTCTGTGCCGAAATGCAGATACGCTGCATAACCACATCTATCACTAGGTCTTATTATCAGGGTAGGGCTTATATTTAACAAATGCATAGAAATCTTGCTAGGGCTTATTTTTAGGGTAGGTCTTATTTTCAGGGAAACACGGTATCATTAAGCAAATAAGTTTTTTCCTCCCTACCTTCATAGATTTTTTGGACCCTGACAGTTTTCTGACATACTTGATGTTGCAAATCACTGGTCTTCACACTGTCCTCTGTTTACCACGGGGAGTCATGTCTGCTGTTACTCCTCGCCCCCCCCCACCCCCCATGTGCCTGTTTTTAATGAGTGGAAAGGAGTTAATTGGCATGCTGTTTTCCTTCCCTAGTCCATCAATAAAGCCATGGAGAAGGACCATGAAGAATATAACATTGGTGTCCTGGACATCTATGGCTTTGAAATATTCCAGGTGAGGTCAGTTTGAATGATTGAGGGTTGAGGAGGAGGATATTTCATCTGGCCTGCGAGAATTGATTCTGTGCAATGAAAAAATACCACGCGGGCTCTTTTCTGCCTTTTTGAGTTCTCCATGTACCTTTACCAAATTAGTTTCTCCTAAATATAAACCTGCTCCTATTGGTGCATCCAACATTTCTGTTCAAGCTTTTCACAGCAAGAGAGTTCCCTTAATCCCACAAGAAATGACTTTTAAATGATTTTGTGAAACGATTACCTAGGAGTAACTTTTTTTTTTTTTTTCAGAAAAATGGCTTCGAACAGTTCTGTATCAATTTTGTTAATGAAAAACTCCAGCAGATTTTTATTGAACTGACGTTAAAGGCAGAACAGGTAAGCAATCCCTCTTCCTTCATCCGATTCTATTTATAATTTATTTTGTTATAAAGGGTATAGATTTCTCTTTCGGTAAATAGATTCGGGTTTCAGTCTTATATTAGGAAATAAACCTAATAAAGTCGGGCAGAAAAGCCATATGCCATTGTGGCATTTTACTCTATGAAATATAAATACCATCTGCTACATTTTCTTTCTCCTTTAAGCAAGTGGTGCTGGGAAGTTGGACTTGGGACTGCTGCTTTTACTATACTGACTCATTGACTAAGCGGAAAATGGGAACCTCGTTCCAACCCCAGTTGTCTATGGCATAGACTGTGTTCCAAGGGAAAGACTTGATTTTCTCAGATTTGCTTTACTCTCAGTCTTCCCTAAAAATCTGTGTGTTTTTAACAAAGTTGGTATTTGAATTCTGACTTCAGGTAACACGTCTTGCTATAGTTTCTAAAGTTCAGTGCAGTTCCCATCAGATTCCTGATGACATCCTGTTTAAGATTTTTAGGGCCACCGTAAACAAAGTATCACAGGGTGGGTGGCTTAAAAGAGCAGAGATTTCTTTCCTCACAGTTTTGGAGCCCAGAGTCTGAAATCAAGGGGTCCTAAGGGCCATGCTCTCTCCATGGGCTCAGTGGAGAGTCTTTCCTAAGTCTTTCTTTGCACTTGTGGTGGCTCCCAGCTTTGCATGACTTGGTTTATGGAGTATACCTCTGATCTCGGCCTCTGTCTTCACATGACCTTTTTCTATGTCTCTCTCTCCAGATCTCACTCTCCTTTCTTTTCTAAAGATACCATCCTAGGCTGAGCGCAGTGACTCATGCTTATAATCCTAGCACTCTAGGAGGCCAAGGTGGAAGGATTGGTTGAGCTCAGGAGTTTGACATCAGCCTGAGCAAGAGTGAGACCCCATCTCTACCAAAAGTAGAACAGTTAGTCAGGCATTGTGGCAGGTGCCTGTATTCCCAGCTACTCGGGAGGCTGAGGCAGGAGGATCACTTGAGCCCAAGAGTTTTAGGTTGCTGTGAGCTAGGCTGACACCAGGCACTGTAGTCCTGTAGTCCAAGCAACAGAGTAAGTTCTGTCTAAAAGAAAGAAGTCTTTGGATTTAAAGGTCACTCTAAATCCAGGAAGATCTTATTGTGAGATCCTTAACTAATTACATTTACAAAGACCCTATTTTCAAACCTTATTCTGAGGTTATGGGTGGACATGGAATTTGGGGAGATACTATTCAACCCACTACACATACCAAAGGCTGTTTTGGGGTCATTTGGTCGTGAAAGTGTTCATTCCTCTGTTTAGGAAAAGCCAATAACCAATGGGTTCCACATAGACCTCTGCCCTGGGTGGCTCACCTTCCGTCCCCTGGGATTAGCAAGAGCACAGCAACCAAGAGAGAGCTTGGCAGTGACTGAGCTGGAGAAAGTCGGCTGTAGGGGAACTCTGCAGGGTGTGGCTAAGACTTTGCATTTTATATCATGTATGATGGGGAGTCATTGAAGAATTATGAGCAGGGAGTAACGTGATCTGATTTGCATTTTGCAAAGATCCTTCTGGCTCTGTACACCTGTCAAGTGGGGTAAGGCAGAGGAAAGCAATCCAGAGTGAGCACTTAACATCCCACTATGAGGCTGGGTGCAATGACTCATGCCTGTAATTGTAGCCATCTGGGAAGACAACACAGGTGGACTGCTTGAACTCAGGAGTTCAAAACTAGCCTGAACAAGAGAGACCTATCTCTACTAAAAATAGAAAAATTAGCTCAGCATGGTTATACATGCCTAGATTCCCGGTTACTTGGGAGGCTGAGAGAAGAGGATTGCTCAAGCCCAAGAATTTGAGGTTGCTATGAGCTGTGACACTGCGGGACTCTACTCAGGGCAGCACAGTGAGACTCCGTCTCAAAAAAATAAGTAAATAGGCTCGGCACCTGTAGCACAGTAGTTAGGGTGTCCGCCACATGCACTGAGGCTGATAGTTTCAAGCCCTGCCTGGGCCAGCTAAATAACAATGACAACTACAACCAAAAAAAATAAAAAAAAAACAGCTGTGTGTTGTGGCAGACACCTATAGTCCCAGCTACTCAGGAGGCTGAGGTGAGAGAATTGCTTAAGCCCAAGAATTGGAGGTTGCTGTGAGCTGTGATGCAACGGCATGCTACCAAGGGTGACACAGTGAGACTCTGTCTCTAAAAGCACAACAACAACAACAACAAAGTAAATAAAAAACAGTAAAATAAAATTCTACTACTGCAGGAAGTTGGGCTAGAAATAGTAGACTTGGACAGTGATAAAAGCCAAAGAGATGGTAACCCGGTGAGCGGCAGTCACATTCAGAATACATTTTTAGACTGAGTCAGTAGGACTTGCTGAAAATAATGAGCAACAGCCAAGAAGGAAAGTACAATGAACAGCAATTCTTAGCTTGGTGGCTTGAAAAATAGGGCCAGCGTTGAGACTCAAGAGTGAGATTAGAAGAGGAGTTGGTGCAGGTGATGGGAGACGTGGAATCTGAAGTCCTCTGAACATGTTTGAGGGGCCTAGTCCACCTCCAAGTGGAGGTTCTAGTATGTGGAATGCATGTGAGTCTGGAACCCAGGGGTGAGGTCTAGGCTAGAGCTATCAATCTGGGAGTCGTTACCTATAGGTGTATGTAAAGCCATGGGATTGACTGAAATCACCTAAAGAACAGCTGAGAAACTAAGAAGGCTGGAAGATGGAGCCCTGAGAGGCCCCATCATGTATAAAGGTCTGGAAAGAGGAGAGCAAAGGAAGCCAGCCACGCAAGACGAGCGAGGAAGGAGGAGAACCAGGGCAGGGCGGTGTCCAGTTAAACGAGCAGCTGATCGAAACCAGGGACCTTCTCCTTAAGTACCTAGATGCTAATCTGTACTCCTGTCCTATGTTAAATCCCAAGAGATATTTTTACAACTGGACTTACAGGTTAAGTCACTTTAAATCGTTTTTGTCAGTCAAAAATAATTGTGTGGTAGAGCTTTCACGTGGTTCAAACTAAACACAAGCAACAAAATGTTCCTTTCCTGTAACCTCTTAGAAGAAAAATAATGAGAGTTCAAGTGGTGAACTTTTCGAGTCTTTCTGTTCCGTGATGATTTCTGTGCCTTCGGTGTCCGTCTGTGCAGAGCTCCAGTTAGTCTTGGCTGGGGGATCACATGAGTTCCCCGTTTCTGTCTTGCAGGAAGAATATGTTCAAGAGGGAATAAGATGGACCCCTATTGAGTACTTTAATAACAAAATCGTGTGTGACCTCATAGAGAACAAAGTTGTAAGTATTGGGCTGGTGTGTCTTCACTGCTTCTTCCCTGTGTTAATTGTTTTAGAGCAGGTAATGATTTGCAGAGAATTTTAGCAATGACATTAGTTTTGTAGATTTGTGGATAAGTGAGAATAGAACTGTAGGGTTTTGTTGGTAGGGTAGGGTGTTTGTGAGTAAAATGAATTTGTTAAATTGTTACTGAATGCTAAGAGAAGAAAACTATCACTTCCATTGGTGACGTGCCATATAAAAGAGCCATAAAGTTAGCCCTCTCTTCTAGTCCAGTCATACAACCTCTAGGACATTAGCTCTAAGAAATGATTTGAGGGCAGCGCCTGTGGCTCAAAGGAGTAGGGCGCCGGCCCCATATGCTGGAGGTGGTGGGTTCAAACCCAGCCCTGGCCAAAAAGTGCAAAAAAAAAAAAAGAAAGAAATGATTCGGGGCTCAGCGCCTGTAGCTCAGCAGCTAGGGTGCTAGCCGGGCCTGCCAAACAACAATGACAACTACTACAGCAACAATAAAAAAATAGCCGGGTGTTGTGGTGGGCACTTGTAGTCCCAGCTACTTGAGAGGCTGAGGCAAGAGACTCGCCTAAGCCCAAGAGTTTGAGGTTGCTGTGAGCTGTGATGTCATGGCACTCTACCAAGGGTGACATAGTAAGACTCTGTCTCAAAAAAAGAGAAAAAAGAAAGGAAGAAATGATTCAAAAGAAAATAAAAGCAATATAGCCAGAGATCTCTACAGGACTGTTTTTTTGATGTTTTTGTTTATAAAAGCTGAAAACTAGAAATAGTAAAAGCATCCATAGACGTTCCAGTCATTAAATAAACTATAGCATATCAGAGTATGGACATATAGCCATTAAAGTAACAAGTATGAAGAATATGTAAAACATGAGGAATGTTATAAAATAATGATATTTGAAAAGAAAGTAATGCCTGATAGAATGCCTAATAACTATATAAACAGTGCCCATATGGATAACAGTCCAGGAGAGAACATTAAGAAATGGATTACAGCCAGGTGTGGTGGCTCACACCTGTAATCCTAGCACTCTAGGCTGAGGTGAGTGGATTGCTTGAGCTCAGGAGTTCAGGACCAGCCTAAGCTAGAGCAAGACCCCGTCTCTAAAAATAGCCGGGCATTGTGAAGGGCGCCTGTAGTCCCAGCTACTCAAGAGGTTGAGGCAAGAGGATCACTTGAGCCCAAGAAACTGAGGTTGCTAGGAGCTATGATGCCACAGCACTCTACTCAGGGCCACAAAGTAAGACTGTGTCTCAAAAAAAAGAAAGGATTAGGGTCAAAGGAGACTGTTTTATTCTCTTTTTGGATTGTTAAATTCCACTTTGTAGGAACAGGAATGGGCAGATAATGATCTGTGCATGACTTTGAAGAAAACTTCAGGGAGTTAAACAGCTTTTTGGAAAATGGACTTTCCTCCATCTTTAGATCTAAGTGGTGACTCCCATTTGGGACTATTAATTACATTCTTGCCTGAAAGGAAAGATTGACTTTCAAGATGATATCTTAAGTCTAGGGAGCTGTTTGCTTACTGAAGAAAGGACCCAACAAGCCTTGTGCATGTTGGAATGGTCAGTGATCAAAATTGCTTTCTTGGTCCCCTCAGAACCCTCCCGGGATCATGAGCATCCTGGATGATGTGTGTGCCACAATGCACGCGGTGGGCGAGGGGGCGGACCAGACGCTGCTGCAGAAACTCCAGATGCAGATCGGAAGCCACGAGCACTTCAACAGCTGGAACCAAGGCTTCATTATTCACCACTATGCCGGGAAGGTACGGCCAGTGGGCAAGCTCACCTGGACGGGGGAGATGTTCGTGTCTACCTGTTGGAAGCTGTTGGGTTTGATTTATTTTCTCATGATGATATTTGAGAGTATGGACATATAGCCATTAAAGTAACAAGTATGAAGAATATGTAAAACATGAGGAATGTTATAAAATAATGATATTTGAAATAATGATAATAATGATAAATAATAATGATATTTAAAATAATGATAAAAATGATAAATAATAATGATATTTAAAATATCATTTTTTCAAATGATATCTGTGTCCATATACCTCACTGTATTTTATCTGTTCAAGAAACAGGACCCATACACAATTATAAGAGGGCTTTTACCTAACAGATGCAATCAGTGCTACCTGGTTCTTTGTACCCTCAATGAATCCTCAAAAATTTAAAAAAAAAAAAAAAAAAAAAAAAAAGCAGGTCCCA